TTTTTTGGAGAGGCAGGGTCTCATTAGGTTGCTCAGGCTGGTCTTGAACTCAAGTGATCCTCCTACGTTGGCCTCCCAGAGTGCTGGGATTACAGCTGTGAGCTACTGCACTGGCCTCATTGTGGTTTTAATCTGCATTTCTCATGACTAGTGATATGGAGCAGTTTTCATCTCCTTATTAGACATTTGTACACCTTCTCGCTACAAATGTCTGTTCAGGTTCTTTGCCTATTTTAAAATCGGGTAATTAATGTTTTTTCTGTCATTGGCTTGCACTGGTATATTTTTTTTTCCAACTTCCTAAGTGGTACTGATGTGTGGCCGGGGTGAAAACCTGTGGCCTAGGTGTGGAACAGGTAGAGCGACCCCAGGTCTGACCCCAGGTCTGACCGAGATGCTGAGTAGGAGCTGTAACATGCAGAGTGTTCAGAAGGTGGTGGGGATCGCCTGTTTGCTCTGAGGGATCGACTGTGTGAGGAGATGAGATGAGCGCTGCACTTGTGAAGGTGCAGATATCTCGCAATCAAATGGGGTCAGGATGTGGTGCTCAGGCGCAGCCTCAGGCCAGGGTGGATTCGAGAGCATAAGGGAAGGGACTCTTGCTGGGAAGAAAAGTAGGTTTTGAAGGAGGTGGAGGCAAAACAGTCCCTGCTCCTCTCCACCTGCAGACTCAGCTGCCGCCACCGCAGCCTCCCAGAGCTCGGTGTCCACGGTAAGGACCTCCCTCAGTGTGTGGGCAACACGTCTTCAGCCAGTGTGCCAAGAAACTGCAAAGGCAAAATAGTGTTTTTGGCAGTGTTTCAAAGACACAGAGAGTGCATTGTGTGCACATTCAATAGTCCTACTGTAGCTCTTTAGCAAATTACAAAAAGTAACACAGGGCCTGGTGCGGTGGCTCATGCCTATAATCCCTGCACTTTGGGAGGCTGAGGCAGGCAGATCACTGGAGGTCAGGAGTTCAAGACCATCCTGGCCAACATGAGGACACCCCATCTCTACTAAAAATACAAAAATTAGCCAGGCATTGTGGTGCACACCTGTAATCCCAGCTACTCAGGAGGCTGAGGCAGGAGAATTGCTCGAACCTGGGAGGCGGAGGTTGCAGTGTTCCAAGATCACGCCGTTGTACTCCAGCCTGAGGGACAGAGTAAGACTCCGTCTCAACAAACAAAATAAAACAAAGGAACACAGGATTGTATGCAGAAAGGGTAAGGCAAAATTGAAGGGATGGGATGAATTTGAGCATCCCTCATCCCAAAATCCCAAATCCAAAATGCTGCAAAATCTGAAACTTTTCAAGCACCAGCATGATGCCACAAGTGGAAAATTCCATTCATAAGCTGTTGACACGAACTTTCATGCCTAAAATTATTTAAAATATTGTATAAAATTACCATCAGGCTATGTGTGTGAGATGTGTGTGAAACACAAATGAATTTTGTGTTTAGATTTGGGTCTCATCCCAAGGTGTCTCATTATGCATATGCAAATATTCCAAAATCCAAAGCACATCTGTCCCAAGCATTTTGGATAAGGGCTACTCAACCTGTATATTTATAGATAGAAGCTAAAAGGCATTTATGGGACTCTCAAATCAAGATGGGTCTTTATTACCTTCTAACTTTGATGACCGTGTAGTAGACATATTTATTAGTAGACATATTTATTCTGAGAAATGATCATAAATATGAATGCATTTCTTTCATTTCTTTTTATTGAGATGGGATCTTGCTCTGTTGTGCAGGCTGGAGAGCAATAGCATGATCTCAGCTTACTGCAGCCTCTGCCTCCTGGGCTCAAGCAATCCTCCTATCTCAGCCTCCAGAGTAGCTGAGACTGAAGGTATGCGCCACCACGCCCAGCCAATTTTTGTATTTTTTGTAGAGACAGGGTTCTGCTCTGTCACCCAGGCTGGTCTCAAACTCCTGGACTCATGTGATCGATTTGCCTCAGCCTCCAAAAGCGCTGGGATGACAGGCGTGAGCCACCACGCCCGGCCTGAATGCAATTTTTATGTTATAGTCATTTGTGCTTCTTCCTGGTAATCCGAAATAAGCAATTGTGTTTTTTGCTAGCCAGCTACAGAGATAATGTAAAAAATGTTTTAAAACCATATTATCAAGCAGAAAATGGTGCTTGTAGATCAATATCTTCAATAGTTGCCCGTTAAAATTTCAGTATGTGGTCGACTGTAACTACTGGAGGAGCTTCGAGGTCATGCCGGTGTCCTTAACACTCGCGTTTGTTAAAGACAGTCACTGCTGCCCTTTGTGGCCGTGTGCCTCACCTCTTCCACATCACGGAGCACACATGCACTGGGTCACAAGCGGGCCGGGCATCAGGGTGCCCACAGCTGGAGTGACCTGCAGAGTCCGGCCCTGCTGGGACCCCAGGGCCGGTGGCCGCAACGTCCCCAGCAGCCTCCCTGGCATGCCACAGCGTGAGGCCGTCTGCTCTGGTGGATGCCGTGGGCCACGGATTCGCCTCCACCTCTGCCCAGTGCATCCGGTCCAGCTCCCTAAGCCACCAGGCTCTGTGCCAAACTCAAGCAGCAGCCAAGTGGAGAGAGCTGAAATTTGTCGTCCCTGGCCCCAGCCTTCTATTTCTGATGCCACACTTAAAAGAATAAGGCAAACTTTTATTTTGTAGCATTCTAACATTTATTTTAAAAGTCTTTCACTATCGAATCACTTTCCTGAATTAACTACATTCTCAAACATATTCCCAGCGTTGGTCAAAGGCTGAAGGAATTTTTTACGAAAAGTTGCAACTTGTTGAGTATTAAAAGTCCTACAGATAAAAATAACCAAAGGAGATTTACAGAAGTCGAAAAAGAAGAAAAGACACAGATACGCTTTGGGGAAAGTACTGAACCTAGATATTAATCAGAGAAAGCTGGGAACGTTGATTCCCAGGAAGGTGGATACTGTGTTAGGGAGAGAGGGAAGGAGAGTCTCCGTCCTCCCACGTGGGGACACGCGTGCTGAAGGATGTGGGCTTGAATCCCCCTTCAGCCTCGTGAATTTCTCAGTCTTCCAGTCCACTTTGCTCACTGGTGTTTTGTGCACTCGGTTTTCTTCTGGGAGCATGACAAGGCCTCCTTTAAGTTCGGGCAAGGGTGGAAGTGGAAGCTGCCTGTTTGGGAGAGATAACTTCCACCCTCTTCTGGGTTCCCTTGCTTCCCCCGGCCTTTTTGTAACAAATAGAATTGTTATTGTCACCGCCGCCATCATGGTATTTTTATTTATCATTATCCTCTCCTTCATCGAACATTCATAGAGCAATTAATTCTGGGCCATTCTAACTTCATCGTGTAATGTCATGCGGTACGATGGCATTACTATTATTCTCACTTTACAGATGGGAATCGAGGCATAACACGTAGACAGTTGCCCATTGTGGAGAGTTGAACCTTGGCGTGGGGCCGCAGGGTCTCTTCGCTGCCTCTGGGACGGCCCTTTTCTCACTGTTGTGAGCAGGGCTGTTCCTCTCCCAGCAAAACGAACACCAGTATGAGCGCGCCTTTGCGTCCTTCCGTGGACGTTTGTAGAGGTGGAGCTGCTGTGTCGAAAGGCACGTGTCTTGGGATTGTTCGTTTACTGCTAAATTGCCACAGTATGTTTTTCTTCCATGAGCAGCCTGCGAATGTGCCCTGCCATTTGTTTATTGGACTGTTCATTTTTTTCTCTTCATTTGTGAGAGCTCTTCTTATATTAAAAAAATTAGCCCTCGCTGGGTACAGTGTGGCTCACACCGGTATTCCCAGCATTTTGGGAGGCTGAGTCGGGTGGATTATTTCAGGCCAGGAATTTGAGACCAGCCTGGCCAACATGGTGAAATCCCATCTCTACTAAAAATATCAAAATTAGCTGAATGGGTTGGCGCACGTGCACCTGCTGAGTCCCAGCCCTACTAGGGAGGCTGGAGGCGTGAGAATCACTTGAACCCGGAAGGTATAGGTTGCAGTGAGCCGAGATCGCACCACTGTACTCCAGCTGGGCGACAGTGAGGGCTCCATCTCAAAAAAAAAAAAAAAAAAAAAAACCCAGACATTGGCCCTTTGACTAATATGTATAGTGCAGATAATCCCCCACCTTTTTTGGAGACAGGTCTTACTCTGTCACCCGGCTGGAGTGCAGTGCTGTGATCACACCTTCACTGCGGGCCTGGTTCCAGTGATTCTCCCGCCTCAGAGTGCTGGGACTACAAGCGTCAGCCACTATGCCTGGCCTCCCAAATTTTCATTGTCTTTTGACATTATGGTATACACATACACATTAACACCGTATGTGTTTGTGTGCGTGCAGTGTGTGTGTCAATACACAAATATATATGTCATTGCATCTTTGTTAAATAATGATGTGGCCAAATCGTTCATCTCTTCCTGACCCTGGAGTGCCACATGCTTTAAGGGACCGCTTCCCTTTCCCAGGTAGAGCCTTTGTCAGGAATTGGTCTGTATTGGTCATTCATGTGTTAGGAAATTAGCGATGTTTGCCTTTCTTAGGGCCTCTTTACTGTATAACCTGTGTCTGATTATGTCAGAAACGGTCTGCCTCATTCCAACGTGGGGGGAAGTCTGGCAGCAGAGAAGCCACAGTAGTAATGGCGGCCGTGTCGGGTGGGGATGTGCATGGAGAAGAAAATGAGGCAGGATGGGGGGCTCAGGGGGCCAGGAGGAGCGCAGCTGTTTTCTGTGCTGCAGTCAGGGAGGCCTCCTGCGAGGACGTGTTTGAGCACAGGAGTGACACGCCACGACCTTACCGAAGCCTCCTGGGTTCCCGGGGGTGGGGAGTACAGCTCAGGAGAATCCTCCCAGCGGGCACCCTGTGCCTGGCAGGTGCCCTGTGTGGAGCGGGCACCCCTGTGCCTGGTGGGCGCCCCTGTGTGGAGCAGGCATCCCTGTGTGGAGCGGGCACCCCTGTGCCTGGTGGGCGCCCCTGTGTGGAGCAGGCATCCCTGTGTGGAGTGGGCACCCCTGTGCCTGGTGGGCGCCCCTGTGTGGAGCGGGCATCCCTGTGTGGAGCGGGCACCCCTGTGCCTGGTGGGCGCACCTGTGCAGAGTGGGCTGTGAGTGATGGGGGCTCCTCTCTGTGTCGCCACCCCCAGCCTCCCGCCATCGTCTTCAGCACTGAATACGCCTCCATCTGACGGGTTGTGTGTTTCTATGTCAGAAAATTAATGAGGGATTTTACTCAGAGATGTTCTGACCATACAAACTTAATTGCCCTCTCAGTGGAATGAACCACACATTTCTACAAAAAAAAAAAAAATACCGTAATGTAGTTTAATAGCCTGGAGTAGCAGAAGAATGCCAAGGATTTACTTTGCATCACCGATAACCACAATGTCCTTGCTTGCCATCCTAAAATTGCTAAAGAGAATGTAGTTGTTGTCAGTGTAGCATCGGGAATTTCCAGGAATGTCAGCCAGGATGCACCCACCTAGGAGTGGCTTCCGCCTGGCCTGCAGCAGCTGCCGAAGGAGCCATGTCCTTCAGAGTTTGTGGAAGGACTGGCTGTGTGTTTCATCACATGTGCTACATGGTCTTCACATCCTGCCCACAGGTGAGTTAACAGGCCGTGTTTTCATCTTTCACTCTACATCTTGGGACAGGAGGTAGAAGTCAGTGGCATCAGGCCCAGGGTAAATAAGCCAGTGTTCTCAATGACATATACGGTGGCTTACGGTTACCCCAGCACGTACTTTTTTCTCTTACTCTGCCTCACAATCCCTTCGTACCTGCGTGTTATGTGGACGGCGTGCACGTGTCTGCACAGCTGCGTGATGTTCTCCTGTGGACCCCCTGGCCGCCCCCCATTATGGACAGCTGGTCTCCAGTCTTCTGCTTTTATAAATAGTGCTGCAGACGCCTTGTGAGTACATCAGTTATATTTCTGTGAGGACGGCTTTGGGATCGCTTTGGAGAAGGGAGATTTCTGAGAGGAGGGGTGTGTTTGCAGTTTGCTGGTCAGTGCTGTAGGAGAGTGTCTGTTCTCTACTTATCTTCCCGGCGGCCTGCGCTGCCCAGCTGCCCAGCTTCTGGGCCTCCCTCCTGCTGCTGGACGAGATGCCGCGTCCCATTGTGGTTTATCTTGTGTTTGTCCTGCTAACAGGCAGGTTGAGAATCTTTTTATGTGTTTAAGTCCATTTGCCGTTCTTTTCTCTTTTTTAAAAAAGAACAGCTTGTTTATATCTTTTGCCCGTCTTTCATTTGGGTTATATCTTTTTTTTGTCAGTATGAGGAGCTCTTTATATATTTCTTTATTCTTGATATTTTTGTGTGCCTGATGCTTGATATATTTATTATTAATAATAATGGAGCAATGAAGTGAGTCACATAAAAAAAGGTAATGGAGACAATGATTCACAAGCCAAGAGACCTATAAATTATTTAACTGCAGTCAAACAGGCTTATGTTAGAAGCGCTTTTTCCAAAATCCAATGTAGAGTTACTTAAATTTAAAAACATGCTGAGGAATTAGAGAAAGAAGCCGTCTGTGTTCTTCCCGGGGCATCATTAGAGCTCATGATGTGGGCACAGCTCTCTCTGAAGCTGGTTCTGCCACGCGCCTGGCAGGGGCCGATCAAAGCCTTTGGCCAGGCAGCATCCCGGGCGTGACGCTCTCACCGTGGTCCCCGGTGTTTCGGGATGGAGGCGGGGTCTGACTTCACCCTCTTCAGCGCCTGGGGCCTTCATCCTGCGCTGCGGTTGGAGCCGTGGTCCCTGCTGCTGAGATGTGAGAAAGGCGCGCGCTGGGGTCTGGAAAAATTGTTTTCTCACAGAAGGCAGAGAAGGCCCTGGAATAACAGGGCCGGGTTCTCACTGGTGGGACCGTTCTCCTCTGTCATCTGCCCTTCAGTGCCTCGGCCGATTCTTGGTCTTTGGAGACTCAGTCTCCAGTCCCACCTCTGCATGCCCCTGGGATAACGCTCGCCATGTGTGGGGTCTATGAGCCTGCTCCTCACGTTCATTGTAACCCGGGCATCCCTCCCAGCGGCCCTGTGAGGCAGGCGCCACCCCACAGCCGTGCTCTCCCACCGTGGAAACTGAGAGCTGGGCTAATGCACCTGCCAAAGCTGCATGTGTGGGAAGTGGTGCTTAGAGCCAGGCGGGGCTCACTGCAGCCACTGTGCTCCACGCTGCCCCCCGAGAGGCAAAACTTCCAGAGCGGGGCTCTCAGGCCACCTTCAGGGCCTCTTGGAGAGGTCGAGCCCCAGATTCCTGGGAAGCTGTTTCCCCACGCTCTGTACTCCACTCACAGGTGGGCCCATTGCCTCCAAAGCCCGTGGGTCTCATTGGCGGGAATGTCTCACACTGCAGGGCACCTGGCCGCCAAGGGGCGTGTCACAAATGCGGGGGTGGGAGGGCTCCACCCTGCAAGCCTGCTCAGGAGTCCTGTCCGTGATCCACAATCCACCACCTGTCCATGGAGCTCCAGGAAGGCTGGCCTGGCCCCCCCGAAGGGCTTCCTGCACTTGCCCTCCCCAGCGTGTGTGCCTGACCTGCTCCGAGGTGGGTACAGAGCTCCTGCCGAGGGCTGGATGGTGAGGACCCGGGCTTTTTGGCCTCTGCAGTGCCAGCTGTGCCCTGGTAGCCAGGGCAGCCGTTGTCAGTCCATGGCTCGGAGGGCCACTGTGGGCCCATGAAAGGCGACTGAGGATGAGGAAATTGTACTTTCCGATCATTTTCACGTATCCCCAAACAGTTACTTTTCTTTTGATTTTTTTCAACCATTTAAGGATGTAAAAGCATTCTCAGTTGATGGACTGCACAGACAGGCTGCAGGCTGCACGCGGACTGGGGGCTGGTCTGTGGGCCCCCACTTCACAGGTCAGAGGTCACTAGTTTTCGCTGCTTCTGCTGTCCATTGCACAGCCCTACCCTCTCTTCAGATCCTGGAACTCTGCCCAGCTTGGACAGTCTTTCTACACCAAGAGACTGGTTTTCCGCTTCTCATCGGCGTCCCTTGTAGCAGTCATCCACGTGGCGCTTGCCAGAGGATGGCCCCGAACTGCTTGTGGGATCCCTCCAGGTCCTCTCAGAGCCTCCGTTTCTTGCCTGTAAAACGGACACAAGAAGCACCTTCCCTGCAGGATTGTGGCCAAGGTTAGCATTTGCCACTTCTGGCCGCCTCCCAGGCATTCAGAAATGGCAGCCAGGCTGTTACCGTTTTGGATTTTGTTGTTGATTTTTAAAGCTGGGCTAGAAACGGATGGACTGTGCGTGTGTGCGGCTGCCGTGGGTTGTACGTCAGACACCCCCATGTGAGTGTCTGGAGGTGACCAGAACCATCCCTCATGTGTAAGGCTGCAGACGTTATATAGTTAGTTTATGATAATAAAGGTCGTTGACTTGTCTCCATGGACTCTTTTCTCAACTTCCTTGTCAGCAAAACAGGTGAATACCTGCAGGGTTCACGTGAGGCTCAGATGTGACTGTCGACCTGAACCCGCTGCCCAGGGACACACGTTGCCTGGCTGTGGTGTGATGTTGACGTCACTTATGAACACCCCTCATGTAAACCTAGAGTTGATGCCTGCCTTCAAACCCCAAAGCTTGCAAATATTCCACTTCCATCCTGGGAAAATTGTCCAGTATAGCTAAAGCGTTAATTTGCCTCCACCAAGGCGGCAGGCATGTATGTATTCATTCAGAAAACAGCAACTGAGCATCTATGTGTGTCAAGCTTTGTGCCAGAGACCTCACTCACTGAACTCCACCAGGGGCAAGGGATTTAAAAATGGACAAGCTATGGATCCTGCCTTCAAGGCCATTGGTCATGTGCATTGTCCAGAGCCTGGTAATTGTCAGTAACAGCTCCTAGAACCATTTCCAATTACGGAAACACCAATCAGAGCAGCTCCTAGAACCATCTCCAATCACGGATCATCACTCACAGTGGCTCCTAGAACCATCTCCAATCACGGAAGCATCACTCAAAGCGGCTCCCAGAACCATTTCCAGTCACGGATCATCACTCGCAGCAGCTCCTAGAACCATTTCCAATCACAGAAACACCAATCAGAGCAGCTCCCAGAATCATCTCCAATCATGGAACCATCACTCAGAGCGGCTTCCAGAACCATCTCCAGTCATGGAAGCATCACTCAGAGCGGCTCCTAGAACCATCTCCAATCACAGAATCATTACTCAGAGCAGCTCCTAGAACCATCTCCAATCACGGATCATCACTCACAGAGGCTCCCAGAACCATCTCTATAATCACGTAAACATCACTCAGAGCGGCTCCCAGAACCATTTCCTGTCATGGAAGCATTACTTAGAGCAGCATAAATTTCTTAGAAACCTTGGTGTTGACATATGTTGATTATAATGATATCCTTACACCATTAAACTACAAAGCCAAAACCAAAATACAAATTAAATAAAATTTAGCCTATGAAACAGAGTGCAGGCAGGGCCTATGATTCTGGCTGGCTGTGCAAATCGACCTCTGACCCCAAATAACTAAGGGTCATGTCCATCGTTGCGGTGCCTTCAGGAAAGGGGCAAGTGTTTTTCCTGGCAGTTCTTTCTCTCTAGACCCCGCAGGCCACCTCTCACGTGCGTGTTGGGCTTCAGGATCAGGGTCCCCGCCCAGTCCTGGAGAGGCCCCTGCATCTGCCTTCTGCCCAGAGCGTGTGTGCCTGTTGAGTCTGACCACTCACCGGGGCACTCTCTTGGCAACAGGGTCCCTGTCACCAGACCTTACCTCCCAGAGTCTAGCGGATGGCAGGGCGGGTAGGGGATGGCTTGAAAAACAGCAGACACGATTTCAGATTGGCTGGCGGCGGTTGAGCTCAGGTGGGCCTCACCTGGAGAGGCTGGACGGTGTCAGAGGTGCTTCTCGGCTGGTGACCAAGCTTCCTAGACGCCTCTTTGCCTTTCTTCTGGGGCGCGGCCCTCTGCACCCCAGGGCAGCCTGTGTGGTGTCTGATGATTTCCACGGCAGCCAGAGCAGCTTGTGGCAGTTGATGGGGGGCGTGCTCCCAGGGTGGGGCCTGCTCCCAACACATCAACTACATCTAGTAATTTGCTAGTTGAAATTGTTACATACCAGTTACATCGTTTACAAAATGATCATCTTTTAAGAATTAGGTTTATGTGGATTTATTCCACATCGATGTGAGCACCTACTGTGCATGAGATAGCATACTAAGTGTTTTTTATTTAGGCAAAAGATAGAAAGTTACTGCTGCCACTATCTGAAGTGGAGCTATCCAAGCTCGTGGATTTAGGGAGTCCACCCTACAAGAACGGCCGCCTGTGACAGAAAGCAGGGGCGAGGGTCCGAGAACAGAGCTGTGCTCATGGCAAAACAAAGACGTGCTGTTTTTCTGGCTCTTGTGTTCTCTCCAGTGGTGAACAAACATAGGAAGCTTTCATCTTTAGAGTAAACAGAAATTCCAAACCCATTTCACGCAGCTTTTTCTAGAAGGCAATGTGTTTAATCCACTTGTTTTCCGAGTCTCTTACTGTCATCATGACTTCCTCTTATGTCTGTGTTAATTACTGTCACAGGTATTTGCGAAAACTGCAAGGTCTGTTCAGGTCAAGACTAGC